TCTGTCTTGTGCACTCTGGCAAAATAGCAAAAAGGAAAAGGATATCATCTTTCTAGTATTTGGAGTTGCTATGAAGATGAAATAAATCTCGACTGAAACTCACTCACTCATCCATTCTGCAAATTCTAATGAAGCTTTCTATTAGGCGTGTGGTGCTGTTTCAGGTCTTGGGCTGTCAGTGAGCAAAGCAGGCAAGTCTCTACCTTCGTGGGAATCACGTGAGAAACGGAGACAGTGAAGATAAAATATGTAGCGTGTAGTATGTAGAATGTTCAAGGGTGGCATGTGCTAGGGAAGAAGGTAAATTAGAGTTGGTAAGCGAGGCAAGGTGTGCATTTCTGTGGGGAGGTGAATTGTAACCCAGGGTGGTAAGTGTGGGTCTCCTTGAGTGATGTCTGAGCAAAGGCTTGAAGGAGGTGTGGGAGTTAATGGGTAGATAATGGGGTGCGGGGTAGGCAGGGAGAAAGTTTCATAAAGAGGAAGGAGCAAAGGGCCAGTGGGTGGTGGTGTTTAAGGCACTGGAATCCCAAGTGCTTGGCTGCAATTAGAATCTGGTCCCAGAATCTTGAAAATCATGCCAGACATGTGTGCGTGCATGCCTGAAATCCCAAGAGGAGAATGGAGGAAAAAGGATTGTGGCGTGGCCATGCCCCCTTGGGGGGAGGTGATTTTTTTTTTTGCTTTTCTTCTTTCCCTCTGGTGAGTTCACAGCCCCCCTCCGTGGCAAAACCTTACATAAATGAATAAGCAAATAGAAGATGAAGGCGCAGGCTGGCGGTCTCCAGCAGGACCCACAGCTGCTGCAGCTGGAGAGTAGTGGGGAGATCTGTGTGCTGCAGAGGCATGAGGAGGGGACGCGCTCTAGATGATGTCAGAGAGACCGAGCTAGACCATGGCCTTCATAAAGTCCATGGAGAACGGAATTTAATTACCAGTGCATGTTGCCCCCGACACACACACAAAAGGGAAAACCATACATTTTAAAAAGATATACAATTTCTAGTGTTTTCTGAAGACCTCTAATATCTTAAATGCTGAGTGAAAAGGGCATGCATTTCTATTTTGGATATGACCTTGATCTTCATGAACTTGCAGGAAATGCATGATTAAATGCATCTTAGTGTCTTTGAATATAAAATGAGAAAACTGTGTGTGAGAATTTCCAAGATTCCAACAAACTCTATAATTCTGACTTTTTATTTTTTGAATTAAAAAAACTTTTTTTTTTTTAGATTCTTGCTATAGGGTGTATGCACTTGCCAGAGAGAATCAGGGACAGAGAGAGAGAGGGAAAGTGCAAAATCACCCACCAGAGGGAAAGGCCACACTGCAGTCCCTTCTCCTCCGTTCTCCTCCTGGGTTTTAGGCATGTATGCACATGCACCCAGCATGATTTTCAAGCTGCCAGGTCCAGGACCATGCAGACAGCCATGTGGGATCCAGCACTGTAACCTCCCTACCACCTGCGGGCCTTAATTCTCTGATTTTAAGACATTTAAAAAGGCAAGTAAATTATAGGAAACCTAATAAAAACTAAAAGCTTTATTCATAAAAACCAACGTTTCAATGATGATATATTTCAGTGAAGATAGCTATTTAAATGTACGTATAAGATAAATAGGCTTTTAACAAATGTTGGTAGAGTTATTCAAATAGTTAAAAAGAAAAAGAACATCTCCTCAAGATAAATAAAAAGCGAATAATTGAGATGAAAATCATAACACTAGCTTTTTCACAATGGGTTTGCTGCCAGAACACAGGTGTTGTGAAAACCACCACTGAATCAAAGTCAGAGTGGAAAAGGAGAAGACTCATGTCACCATCGCTGTCATTGGACACGCGGATTCCAGCAAGTCCACCACTACTGGCCATGTGATCTACAATGTGGTGGGATCAGCTTAAGAACCGTTGAAAAATCTGAGAAGAGGCTGCTGAGATGGGAAAGGGCTCCTTCAGATACTCCTGGGTCTTGGCTAAACTGAAAGCTGAACATGAGCGTGGTTTCACCATTCACATCTCCCTGTGGAAATTTGAGACCAGCAGGTATTATGACTGTCGGTGATGCCCCAGGACACAGAGACTTTATCAGAAACATGATTACAGGCCCATCTCAGGCCGACTGTGCTGTCCTGATTGTTGCTGCTGGTGTTAGTGAATCTGAGGCTGGTATCTCCAAGAATGGGCAGACCCGTGAGCATACCCTTCTGGCTTACACACTGGGTGTGAAACAACTAATTGTTGGTGTTAACAAAATGGATTCTACTGAGCCACCCTACAGTCAGAAGAAATATGAGGAAATTGTTAAAGAAGTCAGCACCTACATTAAGAAAATTGGCTACAATCCCGACACAGTAGCGTGTGTGCCAATTTCTGGTTGGAATGGTGACAACATGTTGGAGCCAAGTGCTAATATGCCATGGTTCAAGGGATGGAAAGTCACCCGTAAAGATGGCAATGCCAGTGGGCTACACTGCTTGAAGCTCTGGATTGCATCCTGCCACGCCCCCAACTCGCCCAACTGACAAGCCTTTGTGTCTGCCCCTCCAGGATGTGTACGAATTTGGTGGTATTGGCATTGTCCCTGTCGGCTGAGTGGAGACTGGTGTGCTCAAGCCTGGTATGGTGGTCACCTTTGTACCAGTCAATGTGACAACTGGAGTAAAGTCTGCTGAAATGCACCACGAGGCTCTGAGTGAAGCTCTTCCTGGGGACAACGTGGGTTTCAATGCCAAGAACATGTCTGTCAAAGATGTTTGATGTGGTAATGTTGCTGGTGACAGTAAAAATGACCCAGCAGTGGAAGCAGCTGGCTTCACTGGTCAGGTGATTATCCTGAACCAGCCAGGCCAAATCAGTGCTGGCTACTCCCCGGTGCTGGATTGTCACAGCTCACATTGCTTGCAAGTTTGCTGAGCTGAAGGAAAAGATTGATTGCCATTCTGGTAAAAGCTTGAAATCCAGTGATGCTGCCGTTGTTGATATGGTTCCCGGCAAGCCCATGTGTGTCAAGAGCTTCTCTGACTATCCTTCTCTGGGTCATTTTGCTGTTCGTGATATGAGACAGACAGTTGCTCTGAGTGTCAGAAAAGCTGTGGAGGGAACCAGCAGTTAGTGTAAAGGCTATGTTGCTGAACTCCCACGTAGTCGACTGCAGTTTGTGTCCCTGACCTGGTGGCTTAAAACTCACGCCGGGCACGTGTGCGTGCGTGCCCAAGATCCCGAGAGGAGAATGGAGGAGGAGGGATTGCAGCGTGACCATCCCTCCTGGGGGGGTGATTTCTCACTTTCTGTCTCTCTGTCTCTCTCTGTCTGTCTGATGAGCGCACGCGCCCTATAGCGAAAATCTCTCAAAAAAAAAAAAAAAGCTGTGGACAGGAAGACTGCTGAAGCTGGCAAGGTCACCAAGCCTGCCCAGAAAGCTCAGAGGCTGAATGAGTCCCTAATTCCTGCCACCCCAGTCTCAATCAGTGGGGGAAGTACAATCTCAGAGCTTCTCCATTGGCCATTGCAGAGTAATAGTAAAAGACTGGGTAGTGACAACACTGCATCGGAAAACCTTCAGAAGGAAATCACCCCCCAGGGGGGTGGCCACGCTGCAATCCCTTTCTCCTCTGTTCTCCTCTTGGGATCTTGGGCACGCACGCACACGTGCCCGGCGTGAGTTTTAAGCCACCGGGTCCGGGACGCTTTTTTGTGTGTAACAGTTTTAAGTTATTAGTTTAAAAAATACGTACTTTTTAATGAAAACAACTTGACCAAAAATCTGTCACAGAATTTTGAGACCCATTAAAACAAAGTTTAATGAGAAAAAAGAATCATAATACTGGATGATTACGGTCCAGAGCAATATTCCTGTTTGGGATAAGATCTTCTCTGCTTGGTTAAGCTACTCACGAAGCTATTAGGCCTTTTCCCCGTTTGTAATAGGTAGAAAATTATGTCTCAATCTTGTATCACAAAATATTGCAATATTGTATCTTAAAAATACCACTAGGATTTGAGTACTACTGGATATTTTTAAAAAGTTTATTTCTTCAGAGTGAGAGAGAGGGGAGAAAAGAGCACGTGATACTCTCAACAGGGTTCTTACAGAAGTTTCCCCTGGTGTCATGCAGCCAGGACCACGTGCAGGACCTGGCATACAGAGACCTCGGGGCACAACCCAGGCATCTTCCCGTGGCCTC